CCCTCCCCTTTTGACGCAGGCTAATTCTTTGAAAGTCTATTACAGTGGAACCCCGCCTCACGGCCACCTCGTTAATACGGCTAATTTTTTCTTGGCCCAATGGTGGTCGTATCAACGGGGTTCCACTGTAGTTGGCGGGGGTCTTGGTTTTCACATGACGTCACCAAAAATTCAAACTAAAAACTATCGCTTTTTCTGAGTTTCTACTTTCATGTGATATTAGAGCACCTTAAAACCTTTATATAAACAAATTTTCGGTTCAAAAGGGTGCTTTGTTTTGCGATACAGGACGCTTGAATTTCCAGGCTTTTGTGTGACAGGGCATTTAGCTTTTCCTTGTCTTAGAATAAATATTGCTTTAATCTTTATGAGTTCCTCACGCGAAGAATTCACGCATAAGTAACAGATGTTTCTGTTCCTGAAAGGGGCACAAACATGGCGCCTTCATACAAAGCTTTATAAATTTGGGTAAAACGTTTTTCCGAATATCTCGCATATGAACTATTGCATAGACCCGATTCTTGGCAAGGCTTTTTGTATATTTATCTTCTTTCATTTTCCAGATTCTAGACTTTCTGTTTTAAAAGGTTTCCATTTTTATTTCTGCTTTCTCACGTGAGTGAAAACCGAGAATTGTTTGTCTAATATTGCATGTGCGTTGTTGCAAAGAGGAATGGATGTGACGTTCCAATGACCTTTCAAACCATGTGCTAATTGATTGAATAAATAGCGTGATGGTTCAAGTACAAGCTTTTTATAGCGACGTCAAACAGTGCATTGTTATGATAAGTCGCCCACCTTGCATGAGACACGCAAGAATCGACAAGAAGAGGTGTCCGACGTAATGCGAACGGCAACTGAAGCGCTGAAGGACCTGAAGTGAAACGCTACAACTCATCACCGCTTGGAAATCAAGGAAGGTTGGATTCGGCTTTTACTCAAGCACAAGTTTTTTGTTCCACAAAAGTAAATCAAGCCTAGCACAAGAGTAGGGGAGCGAACAGAAGCTCGAAAAAGCATTCCCCATGATAGCTGCTATCTCGCTGCTAAGTGTAATTGCTTGTTTAGGAGCGACTGGAAATCTCCTGGTCATTAAAACGATTTTGAACGTGAAAAGAAGAAAGCTGTACGAATATCTCATTTTGAACCTGGCTATTACAGATGCAGGAACCTCTCTTGTTAGTATTCCTTTGGATATTGCAGAGCAAGTAAAAGGCGAATTCCCATACGGTGCCGTCATGTGCCATGTTATCTACCCACTACAGTCTGTACTGATCTACGTTTCTGTTTTGACACTTTTGCTTATGAGCACAGAACGCTATAAATTAATCGTCACACCCATGAAGCCGAGAATGCACATCAAAACTGCGTTCATTATCATCGCTGCGATGTGGGTTTTATCTTGCTTGATCGTTCTACCATTTTCAGCTGCTCTGAAACTCGAAGGAAATCAATGCAGTGAACATTGGCCAAAGGTCTACAGCGGAAAAGCGTTCACCCTAACCATTTTTATATTCCTCTACTTTGTACCCTTAAGTGTCATGATATTTCTCTACTCCTCTATAATTTTTACGTTTTACAAAGACATGAAGACCTTAAAAGTAAGAGTGAGAAAGAGATCGGTCTCTATAGAGTCGATCAATTTACGATTGCATAGGAACGCCAGAATCGTCAAAGTGTTTGTAGCTGCAGTAGTTGTGTTCGCAATGTGTATGTTACCCACTCACGTAGTCTGGTTATGGCACGATTTTGGTCAAGGTTCTTCTAGTCCTTTGTTCGTAAGAGTCTCAACGTTTAGCAACATCTTTATGTACACTAATTCTGTTCTCAATCCGTTTATACTCGGATTTGCTATGATTGATGGAAAAGGCTACCTCAGAAAGTTGTTCTGCTGCCGTTTAAGGCAGTTGACCAGTCCTGGACGTGAACAAGCGTTCGTGCTCCGAACTCAATCGCCTTCCATGTCAAAGCACTACAACGATGGGTCACCTTTTCTTTCATTATCTAAGGCTCCAATCTGTGACCAGGAGATAGGCATAGCAAACAAAATAACACCGGCGATAGTCCAAGTCTCCGAATGAATCCAAATAAAAGTAACAACGTTGCTAATCGAAACTAAAAAGTTGCCGCCACTTTTTTGATAGACTACGAGTAGTCCCCCATTTTTCCTCAGGGATAATAGAGCGAACGAAACGCGAGCGCGCGTGAAAATCACCTCACGCGAGAGGAGGAAAAATGGGGGACTACTTGTAGTCTACTTTTTTGATTTACTTTCGTTTGGCCTGAGCCTGGTACAAGAGAAAAAAAATATATTTATGTGACGAAGGTGTGGCTGCTGTCTTCCCACCCAATTAAAGTTCTACGTGCCTTGTAATTTGAAAACAACTGTAAAAATATTTGTCCTGTCTTTACCCTGTCATGTGGGAGGTAAAGTAGTTCAACTCAGTCTCGTGCTATTAAATGATCGCTATCAAGGACTTTCTATTCGTCCCCTAACTGACGAAGATCGTCGGCAATCGGCCCCTCCCTTGAATTTGCCATTATCATCAGGGCACTTTCTATTTTCAGACCGTATTTCTTTGTCCTTTTTCTTAAGAGCATTATCATTTAATAGAGAGATAAACTTGATATTTATTTAAATCCTTAGTTTAGAAGTGTTTAATCAGCCGATGAAAGAGAAATTCGTCCTTTAGGCCACTTGAAGTTTGATCTAATGACCAGAGTGAGTTTACCACTCAGTAAGTAGTGCAAAATACAGTTAAAAACCCGCCTGTATTGACTAAATAAGTTCTCGGTACATGATCTGTTCTACCAAAAACCTAATACATCCTCTACGGTCTTCCAGTCTACGGGTTTTAACTGACTACGTGTTCGATGTATTTAGAGATAACCGGCCGTGACATCTTTCCTGTGATAACTGAATATAAGCCAATTACAATAAGTATCATTTACTTAAGGCCAATATTATCATTTTACTGGATACAGTGGCAGTTTTCTGTTCACTCGAAGCAGTATCAAGATACAATGTATACTGTATTAAAAGATCTGTGAAAATCCTAACTACTGAGAAACTGTTGTAAAGGTCCATTAAAATTTTTATTTAATAATACGCCTCGGATTGAAGAGCCAGTTCTTTAGAGGAAAACTTAGTCTTGTTTCCCTGGCGCAAAATCGGCTGGTTCGGTATACAGAGTCGCGGATTTGCTACGCCTTCTTTTGCTGAGTTTGGCAACAACTCATTTGTTTTGTGTTTTGATTATTATGTTTCGAAGCGGGCACATTTTTAACCTCAAAAAATTCCCTCCAATTCTTTTTAAAAGGTTAAGTCGGCGAACTGCGCGACTGAGCTGCAGAGAAGTATTTTCTTTTCTTTTACTCGTGATGGATGACTAACTGAACGCACATGCAGTTAAACGCGGAGTTTTAAACCCGGGGGGTAATCCTGGGAACTCTGTGGCGTGGTGTGCCGCCCAGTTCTCCAAATCCTGACCCTATTTGAGACTAAAAAATGTTATTTTCCACACCCGTTTTCGGACCTGGTATAGGTAGAAATAAGTCATCGTTTTAATACTAGGGCTCAAACAGAAAGGTTTTCTTAAAACCCATTTCGAATTCGCATATTACTCTTTCTTTCTGCTTCATTTGGAATCGAAACGACAAATACGTTTATACACTCCCGTAGCTTCCTCGAAAACCATACCCATTTCCAGACAAAATGGGGAAAATCAAGAGAGAATGAAAATCCATACCCATTTTCAGACCGAGACGTCGCAAAAACAATACCCTTTGGGGCGGCACATACCTATATAGCCTTTACAGGGGAGTACCCCTCGGGGTTTTAAAACTCAGCTAACAGCTAGTTAACGCCCGTATCTATTCCTAAAAGCAAACTAAAGTGATTTAACATTTTGCAACTTGAAACTTGTAACAGTTTCATCTAAACCTGTAGCCTCTAAAATAACATATTATCAAGAGGGGTCGGGATCACGTATAAAATATGAGTCATTAGGTTTGACGTATTTCCAATACTCCTAGGTACGTTTAGTGGGGATGTAAAATCATTCCAGTTCAATTTTATTGAACATTCTAATATTTAGCCTGTGTACAGCCGCCCTCCGATTTTTTTGAGGAGAGGGGCGGCTGTACACAGGCAACCAAATATTGAAACCGTCTGATAAAGCGTGCGTCAGACACGAAACGCGTGGGAGAAAATAAAATAGTTCTACAACTCAAGAAGTTCACAATATAATCTTGCTGCTCCTTTCTTTCACATTTTAAGTCCTTTGGAGACCCGGCCAGCTTTTGAGGTTTACGTCGTGGTAGTAGAAGTAAGAAGTAAGAAGTTTTTTTTTTTTTTGTTAAGATGAAAAGCCCCTGTTAGGGATGGGGTGACCAATAAAGTATCCGAACACGGATTTTCTTCTTTTGTTTCTATCAACAACAATAAGGCTCTTGAGACGCTGCAGGTAAAGATGAGGAATGGCTACCTGAAACGATTGAACTCTTCCGACAGAACACGCAGGGAAAAGAAAAACTTGCTTACAGCGTTTTTCATCACACCACAATACGCAAATGCGCGAACGGTTCAAGACCAGCGAATAACGAAAGAAAAAGTCCACACTGCCGATAACAAACACAAAGAACTTTTGAAGCCTTGAATGAAGGCATCGCACAGGATTTAAATTATAGGAGTCCATATTCAACGAAGTGTCCTCACGTGACCCGAGTGGGTTAAGCACCAGATAAATCACTCGCTAACATCTGTTAGGAGAGTCTTATCAATCTTGAAAACTTTAGCACGTTAAAAGCTAGATTTTTTCTTTTTACATCAAACTCCCCTTTTTATCAACAAGATAAATTGCAATTCTAGCTAATTTTTGGACCGAAGCCATGGCCAGGGGCATTCAACTTCATTGCAACCGTCACATGGCGATTGATGTACCCGTTTGTGTAGATTGATTTTTGACTTGTCAGCGGGATAAAATGTCCTTTTTGGAAAGAAGCCAAAGACTCGGGGCGTTTCAGAATTGCTTTCGTGTTCGAAGCATGCACACGAGAAATTCCGAACGCGAAGAAGAACAAAGACGGTGCCGCGCTGACGGCGAGGGAGAGCGCGTGTGTGGAAAGAAATCGATTGAAGGTCTCTCTCCTCACGCGTATTACTTATCTCGAGTATGCGTGACCCGGCGCTTTTTAAGGACCTACGACCGTTCCCGCCGAAACAGGTCCCATGAAACCATGCGCCTTTCAACACTAGTGACGTCTTGGCGGTCAAAGATTGTTTTGGGGTGAAACTTACGCGGAAGGATTAGGACGGGATCTTCAATTTTGGGCTATGCCTGAAGGTAAGCCCGTTCAAATATGTCAAAGTCACGGAATGGTGTTTACGTTTTGGCAGAAAACTAATGATTTACGCTTCCTGAAATGAGGCGTTTTTTTAAAGTTTTTAATCCAGTTATCAAAAGTAAATGTTATTTACATCTGAGCTTACGACGCATTTTTTTTTCGATCGGTTCTTACAATATCAATTAGCCACGCGATTCTCTGGGCTCTAAATCAGTACGTGTCGTGAAGAACTTTGTTCTGGTTACTCCAAAAACTAGCGCGATTTACTTCTCCAAGATCAAGAAAAAAAATACACTACATATTTGTCATAACCGCTTTTTTGGATCCATAAATGCTTTCGGATTTAAAACAAGGATTACGGAGATAGACCTCTGCGCACGACAAACGTCTCAATTTAGTGATAAGTTGTCTTCTGACAAAAGAAAGATCTCAAAGGAGGAATGAGAGGGACACTAACAACCATAAACGTTGTTAGAAATGATTTTGTTCGAGGTATGTTTTTCCTCGCTCGGATCTTTGTTTGGATCGCCTCCTCTCTCCAGGTACAGGTTATTAAAGGGATACTCCTTCGGTGCCTGAAATAGCAAATAAATGGTTGAATGTTTGAAAGCAGCTTCAAGGAGCATTTAGCCAAATCTGGCCATAGAATTGAGTGAAATATAAAAATGACTGCTTGAAAAACTTTTAAAAAACTCAAAAGATACAAATAAGGACACACATGGACAAAAATGAAGAAGTTTAAAAAGGGTTGCATTTGGGGCTTTTGAAAACAACTCAGTCTACAAGTTAATCAAAGTTTATGATTTAATTTTTAAAGCCGATGCACATTGCAAACAAAGTCAGGTTTTACAGCTTATGATTAGCGAAGCTGTAGCTAGTATGTACTTGCCCAAAAGTCATTTTAACTAGCCCCAAAAACATTTTGATGAGTAGGATTGATTACAGTTCTTCTGTCATTTGAACTCCTCCAAAAAAAAAAAAAGTCACTTGTTTGTCGAGCAAGTTAAGAACAGCATTCGCTGTTGTTTGTGATTAAATTTACTTTCAACAGAAAAAGCTACACCAACAGCCTGTCTGCCAGCTCTTCCCCGTCTTCATCTACCGTTTCTCTAGCTGTCTTGGGAAAAATGCCTATCACATTACCTGCTGAGCACAGTACAGTGTAATGCAAGAAACATTACTTGCATTTTCTTCTGGACTAAAACGTGTGTGTGTACAGAAAGTCTAATAATGTCCCTGCTTGTAATAACATTGTATAAAGAAACATAGAATCTCTTACCGCAGGGTTAGGGTCTGTTTGGTCATAAAGATAAGACAGATATCCAACAAACCCAACGATAGCAAAAGCAATTGTCATATGCAACAGTGCTTGATGCCTGAGGATGAAATACAACATGACCACAATAAACAAAGATGATTCTTTTATCTTTGTAGTGTAGTTCTTAATCCCAGGACCTTGTCCTGTTACAGGAGTAAAAAGATACCATGGGCTGGCACACTCAAAACTTTGTCTGGAAGAGTGCTTTCAAAATGAAGTTTCAATGTTAAGGATGTTGTGGTTCAAATTTTTCTTAGGTTAGAAATTTTTAAAATCCCCAAAATTGAGTCACAAGAAAAAACAAAGTAAATCTTCTAAACTTTAAATGTAAGCTTTTTGTGCAAAGGCACATAAAATCGAAGATTAGATGTTAGAAGATTGACATGAAGGAATATTACATTATATGTATAGTCTTTAGGGAGAATCCTACTAGGCTTTCAAACATCTACAGGGTGTTCAATTATAGCACCGTTGTAGCATACATGTATGACAGTCTTTGTTGACCCTGGCCCCAGGAAAAAAATATTTTTGCAGCCATGAACCATGAGACATTGACCCAAAAATTCACATAAAAATCTTGTTCTATAACCCACCTACCCAGGGTGCAAAGAACGTCAGTTTTACGGCATGCCATTCAGGCAGGCTGTAGTTAGCATGTACTAGCCCAAAAGTCATTTTAACTAGCCCAATGATGAGCAGGGTTGATACAGTGTAACAATTCTTTTGTGATTATAATTCCTTCAAAAATTTCACTTGCCAGGCGGGAAAGTTAAAAACAACATTTGCGAGCCCGATAGTAAAATCCACTGGCCCCGGGCTATTGGACACGACTTTCTTTGCACGCTGCTACCTCTCCTTTCATCTAATCCTAAGGTCCTATTCCCAAAAGCTTTTCCCACCAACACGGCTGTCAGGGGGATTTTCCCCGGCTACTTTCATAGGAAACAAAAGGAAAATACTGGTAATAGAACAAAAAGAACTTCCTTGCTGTACAATTCCCCTTCCACTTATCACATATACCCGGCAACTTGAAATGCTAGTGACAGCCCTGCACAAAAATGAAGCCTACTAAATGCCCAGCAAAAGAAAAAATATGAGGCAAGAGAAGCAAAAGAAGAGGGGAGGAGAAAAAGCAAAAAGAAAAATTAAAGAAAAACTAACAAAAAAACATCATACTGATGTCTGTCATAAGGCACTTACGGTGTGTATATTCCACTACACTCCACCTCTTGCCAGACCCAAACATTCAGTCCATCCTCATCTTCATGAATCTGATAAGAAAACAAGTAATTTACATGTATTTTGCACACTATTACTTTCAAATTTACGCTTGAATATCCATTTCAGACAACAAAAGAATGCAAGAAAGATCCACCTTTATTTAAGTATTAGACAGAATGCTCCATGTTATTTTGAAGTCCACCAGAAGTTTGTAAGGGTGAAAATACATGTAACATTTGTGTGCATGGCCCTGCATTAGCCTGTACACAAACGTTTTATTTTTGTTTTGTTCATTATGAGCGCAGGGCACGCGAAAACGAGCACAGAGCATCAGAAAATGAGTGCGGAGCACAAGAAAGAAAAATATATTTTCTTCTTCCCCCACCACTACCCCCTTGCACTGGAGGTCAATAAATCCCCCGTGGTTTATATTTTATCACGCGCGCTCAACAGACTTTGAAGAGAAAATAAATGGTCTGTGAACAGTCTAGCCCTGCATTTACACTTAGAAGTTGAGAAAATGTTAGGAAAATGACACTCAAGGTGGATCATTAAAACTTGCTGTGCCCATTTCATTGTGGATGAAGGAAAATGCACTACATGATGTAACACATCCATATAAAAATTGGCCTGTATCAAAATGAATGAGTTACATACCACGTTATCATGTAAAAACAGTGGGATTCATTTTTAGTGTTTTGCATAAACTAGAATGGATAATTAAAAAAAAAAAGGTTTCAGTGTGTATGGGTTCATCATTGCAGCTTACTGGTTCATTAAAGTTTCTGCGTTCTTGCCAGTCCCACCAGCCCTTGTGCTGTCTTCTTTGATAAGAAATATTTGGAAGATTAGGATAGTCTCCTAGAGCATAACCATCATCAGGCCACTCACGAGTAAAACCTTTCCAGTCATTCTCTGGAGTGGGGATAGGGAATCGTAAATGATCATCATGAGCTGTGTGGAATAAAAACACAAAAGTTAATAGCATTTCAATTGAACCTGACAAGTGTCCAGTCTTTTGTTTCATTACATCTATGAAAAAGTGAGCTGAGCATGGCATATTACACAAAGTACACAGAATAAAATTTACTAGACAAATAAATACCCACAATTTAGCAATTTGCCTTTCCAAGAAAGTGAATGTGCTACTTAACAATTATTCCACGAGGGCGCGTTGGATATGAGATGATAGATAGCCATCGAGGCGCGTAGTGACGAGTTGGCTATAATCATCTCATATCCAACAAGCGCGAGTGGAATAATTGTTTTATTAAAAACGCCCACAAAATCTCGTTGAATCTCCCCGACTAGAACAAACCGGAAAAGACAAGGGTCTTCCGCTACTCACATGTCACACGTCTATCAAAACTGTCAACGCGCGAATGGACTCGCCTGGACTGCATGAATGAAAAATCAAAACATTGTAGTGATGAATTTTACACAGCAGAAAAGCTAAAAAAACCTGGCAGATAATGTGAAGGAAAAGAATTTTTAAGTGACAGCCATCGAAATTACTGTGAATTTGGATTTTCGGTGCAGTTATAAAAGTAAGAACAACAGAGAAAAACTATTACCTCGGTCGCTTGTCACAAGCCACAAGCTGGTTTTGCTGAACGAGAAAAGAAGCTATACTGCCGCCTCGACTGCTCTAGTGAATGGCTGCATAGCCTGTATTTGTAGCTGGTTACTTGCGATTTATATTCTTGATGTCGGATAAACAAGCCGCAGTTATCTATTGGCGAGTGACTCGATCGGCGAATGGCTTCGTGATCATGAAGAAACAACACTTGTCTACTTTCGTAGCTGGTCAAGGTACTTTAGTTCCATGTGTTTTCATGTGTTTTTCAACAAACTTTCAAACAAGCTCTTGAGGTTTTTTTGTTTGTTTTTGTCTTTTTTCTTTCGATGAAATTGCATTTCTAGTATTCTAAGAAATGAGTTAAAACAATTTGCTTCGGGCGCCGTTCTATCCTTCGCAAAAAAAAAATCTCAGCTAGCTTCCAATTTTAAACTGACGCGTACACTGACCATATATGGAGAGCATGGTATAATAGCTCATATACCATAACGGCTAAGCCAATCAAAATGCTAGAATTGCATTATCCAATGATTCAGTTTTTAATAAAAAAGGTTCTACTAACTTTAAAATCATTTCCTACCNTAGCTTCCAATTTTAAACTGACGCGTACACTGACCATATATGGAGAGCATGGTATAATAGCTCATATACCATAACGGCTAAGCCAATCAAAATGCTAGAATTGCATTATCCAATGATTCAGTTTTTAATAAAAAAGGTTCTACTAACTTTAAAATCATTTCCTACCAAATACAAACAACCCCCTGAAAGATTTACTTTTCCTGTAATTCCGCTTTGTTAAAGAAACGGATAAGTTTAGCCAGCAGCGAAGCATAGTAAGTTATGTGAACTTCCGTTGAGTTCAACTGAAGTTAAATTATGAAATGGGCAAGTAATACCCAAGTAATAGGTAAGTGAAGGTGGTGTTAATATTGACTAAAAATATTAAGTTATCTTTGTAACTGCTCTAAAGTAACGATCTTAAAGAAAGTGTTACTTAAACATTAACCTCTTCTGATTCCTAACAAAACTTGTGCAGCTTGTGGTCGTTGCAAAACAGCACGGCGAAGAAGAGCCTGACCCAAAAACAATCCTCTGCCGGCCGCCATCTTGAACTGAATACATCCGGGACTGTTCCAACATTTTCTCGGCCGGCCACACTTCGGAAAAGTCCGGTGTTATCCGGAGTTATCCGAACGGATCTGAAGTTGCCGAAATAATTTTTAGTCCTACCACAGCTTCATTTTGATTTTTTGCATTTAGGAAATATCTCAAAAACCCTTTTACTGCAGAAGAGTTATTTAGGATATAGCTTTTCAGGCGCATTTGATTTTTATCTTGTCTTTTACTCTTTTGCTGGCAGATGTTGTCATAGCAACTTCACGCCTGGGATTTAGTGAGGAAAACAATATGGCGGACACTTGTAGGCAATGATTTCACTGACGATGAAATACAGTGCTCATCCATCTTAAAACGTTTGATTGCTTGAAAACTATTTTTTGCGGATATTGGAACTTTTCGGAAAGATTATTAAGCCTTCATGAGTGCTCAGAGACGAGCCAGCTCTCAAAATGGGAGACACATCAACCGGGACTCCAAAGTCGCCTGCCTCCAGCGGATTAACTTATCCCACAATAAGACAAAGAGGTTATTACTCCGATATTTTGGGAGGAGACTCAAAAGATGAGCTTGGGGTAAGTTACGAAGAATCAACAGAATGAAAAGGTTTTCTAACTGAGTGGTATATTTTCGTGTAAACTATGGTGATACAGTAGTGACATGGCGGGAAAACGTGTACTTTCATCATTTAGACTTACACTCAATCTAAATACTAACTGCAGGCTACGTACTCACAAGTCTTATGTGTATTAATTAAGTGTGTAATTTCCACACTCCACTGAAAGTTCTCTCTTGCAGTATATGGAGACAAGGACATGTGAAACGTTTGTAGTATTTATGTAGGGTCACCGGCACTGGCTTAGCTTCAGTCCCGGCTGTTTTGAAAGACTAGATCGAGTGAAACCCCAATTGAAAATATCATCGCTGTTGCAAGAAGACTAAAATGGTAAAATCGAACAGGGCTATAATTAAGGTTTGTGGACTGGGGGTTTTACCTCCTTAATTGTCAAAAATTGAATCCTTTGCAACTTCATAAATTCTATACATGGACGTTCCCTTGTTTCTATATTCCCTTTTCCCTGCTTTTGTATTTGTAACATGCATATTACACAACAATGTTTTCCTCATTAGAATGTTACTGGTGGCCCTCCAGCTTTTCGAAGCACGCTATGGAAAACAGCAAAAGTAAAACATATGCCAGAAGGTGTGTACTAGCAATTTACTTAAGTTGCCTCTGCACAGCTCTATTTCAGACTTGCCAAGTTTCATGACTTAATCCCAAGTCTCATGATTTCATGACCTATCTCACAGTCTTTACAAGTTGCAACTAATTTCTCACGCTTCCTCGGTCAAACTCCAAAAAATTTCGGAGTTGCAGGGTTTGTTGTTTCCAAGTTAGATATTGATAGGTAGCCAGCTCAATCCAAGGAAAACACTTACAATTGCGTTTGATTGCAATTTCTTTTAGCCTACCGCAATTTGCCACCAAATGTGAAGACTTACTGTTTATCTTGTCTCAAGATGGCCGCAAACAGAACATAGAAATTACAAAACCTAAATCATAAAATTGCTCGTGATGTTTAATGCTGCAGCTTTAAAGTGATAATATGTGACTTCCAATACCCATAATCCCCACTGGAAGTCTTTCAACTAGGAAGTTTGGGACATCTTTACAACTTCTTACCCATTTCTCACTACTTTTCCCAGCTCTAGCTTCAGAGTCTCACATTTTTTGTTTTTTGGGGGTTGGCAAGTCTGCTATTTTCTGATATAATATTGTGTAACTCTAAAAACTACATGTATCTGCACTTCTTCCATGGGGGGTTTAATGGTCAAAGCCCCTCTCCCCCTTCCCCATCCCTCTGGAAGTTCCAGTTTGCAGCACCAGCTTGTAGGTGTAGACTCAATAGAGGAGAGAAGTCGTTAGGTGATGTTGTCATTGTAGCAAAATTATTGGATGACAACAAACCGAGAAAGTCACTTAAAAAGTATATGCGTACTATTTCAAACTTCATTGATGTTATTCATTTTCATTTAATTAGTCAAATGTTGGCAAAATTTTCTGGGTACTTTAAATCGGAGAGGACAATATCTAAGTTTAGAAAAAGAAAAAGAAGATTTTGTGTTGTGTTCACCTACTCAATAAAGTGGGTGCGTGAAATTAGGAAGTTTTATATCGCAGTCATGCAATGACAGCTAAGAAATGCACAAAAATGCATGATTTGCAGTTGTTGTTTTGCTAAAGCTCTCTATTGTAAGTTGTGATCCAGAAATTTTGCTGCCACATGGTAATGTGATGTCACACTTTTCCTCTCTGTTGCTTTTAATCATTGTTGCTTCCTGTTCAGAATTTCTTATGATCTTCCCTGGAAATCTCCACTGACTAATTCACTTGTTGTGCCAAAACACTTTTTCTACTCAGTGCAAACCTTCAAGGGGCCAGTTTCATCTCAAGCCTTAAATTCACTGTTACAAGGTCAAGTTCATGGACCAACCACAGCACCTATCACAGTATCTGTAAGTACAAGTATGGTAATACCAAATAGTACAGTCATTAATCATGATACATATATACCTTTTTACTTGTGCATAAAATATGATATACACTGTACATAATAATGTGAAGCCCTTGTGCGTGTTTGGACATAGATCCTGTTTGTATAATTATGTAGATATACAAACTGCGGAAATTTTTTAATAATAGTTGTATCAAAAGCTGTTCATTTGTTTTCACAGGATTTTCCTGAGAAGGCATGGGAGCCCAAGGTTCAACTCCCTTTCAATGCGGAACCTGGTCAAGTTCCAAGAAAAATTGAGATTGAAAGGTACCTAGGTCACATTTGTGTACTGGCAGAATATAATTTACATCTCTTAACTGAGCATTTGCCAAATATGTTCAGTTCATTTGTTTTAGGCAACTGTACTGGTATTTTTTGAAAAATCTAATCTACTGATAGCTTAATTGATTAAACAAGGCATGACTGTTAATCTTTATCAGTCTTTTGACTGAAATTACCCTCTTTTATGAATATCTTTTCAGACAAAAGCGAATTTTTGCAAAACAAAACATCAACTCACTGCTTGAAGACCTTGGAGTCAAGACCTCTGATTTAATGCCTAGAGGAGACTACAATATGCGAGTAAATCTCACAGGTGTTGACACTGCACCATTTCCAAGCTTCTTACCTCTCCATACATTTGACGACACAGAGTATGACTGCCGCAATCCTCGTGAGTGGCTGGAGCTAGGCTTTGTTGATGGTAAGCAACATCCTGTACCAGGAAAAGCCCTTCTGCCTAAAGACAATGGTAAAAATGGAAAAGAGTACTCTTGGACAGACGTTGGTATGTTAGATTATGATGCTGAGAAACAGCTATTCTTTGTGCAGATTGTCGGCACAGGAGGTCTTCAACACAATGTTTTCCCAACAACCAATGGTGTAGTAGAAAATGGTGATAAAGAACCAAAGAGAAAACATTCTAAACTTGAAGCTCAGCAGTTCTGGGTCCCACGTATTCAACTCTTGTTTGCTGCAGAAGACCCAGTGAATTTTGCTGAGAGAGTAGCTAAGGCATATGCTCAGCGATGTGAAACTGAGGCATTGCTGAGGTACAATCTGTATGTTGATTGCATGCCAATGGATGGGGTGTTGAGACTGGATCCCAGTTCCATGGAAAGAATGATCACTTGGGCAAAAGGAACCAGGACACTGAAAAATGACAAGAGGTTAGAAACTTTACAAGAATAAATATTTAAGTGGTAAGAGGGTAACCATCCTAGTACATGTATGTAACCAAATTTTTATGGTAATAAGTTACCAAAGTGTAATTTTGCTGAAATGCTTCCTTCCTCAAATAATAATTATATAATGGCTGAATAAGAAAAGGATGATGATATTGTGTACTTTGCTTGAAACCAGATTGTATTCCAGATTGTTTGAAAAGAATAGTACAGTTACTGTAATACAAATTATATGTATACGGTTTGTATGTAATAAAGAGCAAACTGGTTAATATGTTGTCTCAACACCTCACTGTGAGGAGATTTAACCCCCAGTGCTGAAAAGAGGGACTTTGAAAATGATCATTGTTCCAGCGAAAATATTAATATTTTTGTGGCCTATCTATGATGCTTCTTGATTTCTGTTGGTATTCCTTTTGCAGCTTGGATGAACATGCCCGGCTGTTATCAAAAGAAATCCAAGTGGACTTTTCACGAAGCATGAACAGGATCACATTTGACCGAATTATCAGTAGTAAACCAGAGAAATATCCCTTTGTAACTCTCCCACAAGAAGAAGAGGAAGTTATTCCTGAGCGAGGTATAATTTTATTTATTATATGGAGGAGAGTGTTTTACTGGGAACTAAACCACTCGTAGATTCCATACGCCACTTCATCCGGGACCCGAGTGGCGTATTTTCCGTATGTCACCTTTGTGAGTGTCGTATCGTTCAATGACGTCACGATTCCCGCCTTTTGCTTTTGTTGAATTGGTTTCTCCATATAATAAAAAGAACATTACACGTTGGCTCGAAGATATGAATTTTATGTTCTCGTGGCAAGA